ACTCCCTGCAAACCCCCCTCGGAGCTCTCCCCGCTCAGAAAGGCCGCGGTAAGTCACAGCAGCTCTTAGCACCTCCCACCCTCCCCGGACGGAGCCGTGAGCACTCGTGTTTAATAACAATCCGGGCGGCACGCAGACCACGGCGCTCAAGGCCATGCACACAAGGGGGCAGCTCCCAGAGCAGGGCCCGCCGCGGGCTCATTTGCACACCCCACCATGCGATTTTAAGAAGTGTAATCTGTCATCCAACAAGAGCCGGGCGAGGCAGGCGAGGAGACAGCTCTGTGTGGAAGTACCAAGAGGTCATCCGGAAGAGCTGGAAGCGGCAGCGACCGGGAAAACCGCATGCAAGCTTTAAATCAGGACCGGTACCTTAGGAGGAGAGCTGCTGGCCACCGAGCACAGTCCCTCTCTGCAGCCTATTCCTGCACGCCCGCAGGGCCGTCTCTGCCCCGCAGAGTCCGTGGCACGTGTTGATCCCCTCTCCCCACACGTCTGCTCTCCATCCGCCCCTGGGCCTGGGCAGAGCCACCACGGTGACAGGCCACAGGGGCCTTCACAGAGCACAGCGCTGACGGGGGGAGGGGGAGGGGGCAGCACGCAGGCGTCCACAGGGACCAGGAACACCTGACCCTGGCTTCAGAGGTGGTTCTGGAGCCCAAGCCTCTGGCCGGACATGGGGCGCCCAGGCAGCTGGTCCCCCCCAGAGGTGACAGTCCCCCGCCCCTCCAGCCCTGTGGAGATCACTGCAGCCCGTGAGCGGCCGCTCAGAGAGCCCGCATCCTCCAGCACAATGCCCCTGACTCAGGCTGAAACACTTCCCTCCCCTCCCAACTTCCCAACATCACCACGTGGGGAGCAGGGGTGTTCTTCAGAGATACCTGTTAGGACGGTGCTCTAGCGGAATAGCCAGGGCGGCAGAGCTCCACTAATAAGCAAGCACGTGTGCCTCCCTCTCGTTTCATACACCTGGCGTACCTCTTCTCTGCCACCCCTGATTATTGCTACAGATGCCCCAAGGACTCGTTAGGATGTCAGAGCTTCAAACAGTTTCATTGTGGAAACAGGCATCGGAAAGTCATTGTGCACACGGAACAATGCAGGTGCTAGGGACACGGAACGGGGGCCAAGACAGACCAGAGAGAGAGAGAGAGAGAGAGAGAGAGAGAGAGAGAGAGAGAGAGAAGGTAGGGCACAAAGCATACTCCAAGCTGAGACCACGTTGCATTGAAACAGCCTAGTGATGGGAAATGTCTAGCTGCCACCTGAACTGATCTGGCACCAGAAAAATCATATAGTTACTACAAGGGCAGAGCATTTAGTGTGATGCCTTGTGCAAGTTAGAGTCGTTGTGGGCATTATTTTTAATGTGTGGGATATGCTAATTTAAAGTATTTTTTTATATCAGCCACATATGATATTTGGGTGTGATTTACCCCCTGCAACTTAAAAATGAAAATTTTAAAAATTATAGACGGGTATACGCCTTTAAGTTTGTGGTATCTCATCTCTTTAGTGTAATTTGAAATGGATGTAGGTTAATGTCATGGTGAAGACTACAGTGAGATGAAACTTAACTTGGTGAAAAACGTGGTAATTATTCTCAAGTTTTTATTCAAGCTTATCCTCCATGGCTCCCTTCAAAAGAATGCTACACACACCCCCTCCCCCAAAGAAAACAAGGATGAAGAGAGCATTTTTAGAACCTTAAAATAAGAAGATGCATAACACTGTTGCAATTAAATTACGACATCGGGTAATTTAATTATAAACATGTAGCCAAACTGGAGGTCTCTTTCTGAGTTTGCCGTCCACTGGCTTCCTAGACAGGGTTCTGGCAGGCTTTGCATCCAGGTAGACTTCATGGGAAAGTGCCAGATGCATTTGGAAAACTGGTCACTGATTGGAAATTCCAGCCACGGACCGGAGGGGCCATCCCGCCGGCCTCACTCCAGCATCGCCGGAAGGCACCACCCTAGTCCCTTATGCCACTGCCTGGGCTTGTTAATATACAATACTTAAGAATCAGCAAAATTTTAAGTTTGATGTTAAAAATGGAGCCACAAAAATGTATAATACATAAAGTGTTTCAGATGACCCAGTGTGTTTTTAAAAATCACACCTTTCCCTCAAATTAGGGCATCTTACAGGTAGAGCTGGGAATCTAGCTCACACGTGTGACTTTAGAAATATTGGGCAACAAAGTAATTTTTCACAGAGAAGTGACTGCATTTTTATCACATGTAAAGTATTTCTAAAAGAAAATCAAAATCAAATAATCAGATTCTAAATTTTAAATATACATAAATTTAACAAATAGAAAAACTTTAAAAAGCTTTGAAGTTGCACAATATTTTATTTATGTTTCCTGATTGATTGAAAAATTGGCATAGAAAACAGACATAAAACAGCAGTGAAATAACTGGGCATATTCAATAGTAAGGTGTGAAATATAAACATTCACAAGAGTAAAGTATAAATGGCAGGTGGAAACTATGACAGGAACAATGAAAACAGTACATTGAAAATACCCCCACTTTCTTAAAATCATGCTATACTGCTTGTATTACCCAAGAGGAAATTGTGTGTTCCTATTCCCTTAGGATTTTTTGTATACCACACGTACATGGTCACAAATTATGGCGCCTCATCCTTAATCTCAGCTTCTACCACAAACTTATAAAATTGGCCTAAGTTTGGCTATAGGATGCAAGTGTGACTCAAGAGAAGTTGAAATTGATGCTGCATGTTTACTTTCTGCCTGACTGGTCCATCTTGACCATCCTTGCTCATCTTTTCACAAATAAACATTTTCACTGGTTACATGAATCTCCATCACACAGAGATAGTCCCTTGGAGAAGCATGGCCCTGTCGTGTTTACAGGGTTTTACTCACAATTATAGACAGAGGCAAGTTCATGTAATGAAATCATGTTCTGTTTGGTCATTTGGAAAGTAGGGCAAAAATTCCATATGCAAAATAAAGATCTAGAGATGGCATGTCTTTTCGGCCACCATCTTTAAAACACCCAGTGTGCCCAGGGAAGCTACTCCTACTTCTGCCGGCCTGCAGACAGTCATTAAGGCGCGAGAGTGAGCCATTCTCACCCTGCCATCAGCTAGAGGCAGGCAGTGGCGGCTGAGGGTCCTTGCTGCCAGGGCGGACAGCTCCCGGTGCTGAAGGGACAGGCGAGGAGCCTGGCTCACAATAGCTCACTCAAGCAGCCTTTGAAAAATCGCACAAAACTGAATGAGGTGGCAAGTACTCGGGCTGAATGGCACCTTCTACAGAACAATGGGCACCAACTCCAAATCCTACGCTAATCACATTAATGAGATTAATCAGTGAATTAGCAGCAGCCAGTGTCAGCGAGGAAGGAAGAGTCGGACCAAGATGGGTAATTAACTCTTTATGGGAGGGGGAGGGGTCGGCGATGCTCCCTCCCGGCTTCTCAGGAGTTGACAGTTCTGCTTCACCGTCTAAAGGCTCCTGCACTGGCCCAAGGCGACAGCATCCTGGGTTTTGTGTTCGAATGTGGATCCAGGGATCCCATTGCTGATGCTCCAGCTACAGTCCTCTGAGGAGTGATGTCATTTTAAATAATCTTCAGAAACTACAGGCTTTCCCTGTTTTGAACTTTCTAAGTGTGAAATGAATACTGAAAATGAAATTACTTCCCTAAGACTCCAGCTGAAATATAAAAAAATATGGCTGATTAAAAAAAGGAAGGATTATATAACAGCTGCTCTTGCTTGTGGGAAGTCTGCGATACTGTGGCAAGAGTTTTAAAAAGTGCCATCAAGTAAAAAACTATGACGAACGTATCAGCCACGGTCTATTGTCTTTCATGGAGAACATGTCTTACCCAGCACAACTTCAAGGAGAATTTCAACCAACCGAGTTGTCACACTTGAGGTGATAGAATCATACACTTCCTTTTAGGTCAATTAAAAAAACAAAAAACTCCCTTTATCCTACAATGTGTTACTAAATTCCATGTATAATATACAGTCAACACTGGATTCAGAGTTCTTGAGAGGTGAAAACTTAGATGAAATAGAACTAGTTTACAAAAAGGATTATTGGGCAAAAATATTTTTAGTCTTAAAATAGTCACATTTTTGTAAGTATGGAAACATACCTCTAGTTATCACTTTATGAAGTTGAGCAATTAGAAAGACTCCCTTGTGTCTGTAAGGATGGTAGTCTATACTTTTGTCTAGGAAGTTAATTTTGTTGAGTAAAAAATACAAACACAAAAAGCTCTTATTATAAAAATATTTTAGTCTGAATAAATAACAATATCCTATAGGTTATATAGTTTTAAAGTGGTATAAAAATTGTCACAGCTAAATTATTACTAAATTCAAAATTAGAGCTCTATATTTTAATAGCTATCATATGAATGTTTACATATATATTTTACCTTACTTTTATTTACCTTGAAGCTACAGCTTGCAGTTGAATATTTAGTTTATAAATTCAAGTTGCACTGAAAGACACATTTCTGTTATACATTAAATATGGTTTCATTATTATGAACTTCATTTAGGTCATAGTTAAAAACTTTGAGTTGGTTAATTTAATCCAGGTCGGTCAGCTTTCTTTCCATTAGGCAAATATGGCATTATATCAGGGATATTTCCTGTGTCAACAGGCTCTACAAAAACAACTTGCTTTCTTTGTAATGGAAAGTAATCCAGCAAAGTCTCTGGGAAGTGTTTGTTTCAATATCTGCATATCATCCAACTTCTGTCCATGCAGCAAGTTTTTGCATCAACAACATCACGGTTAAGGCATGCAACCTAAGCCCATTCTGCCTTAAAAAGAGCCTTCTGCGGGTCTCCGGCTCCCGGCCCAGGCACATGGCAGCTCCCAGCCATGCTGGCAAGAGAGCCTGAAAATGGAGCAGACAATAGGCATTGCAGCAAAGCCCGCTCCACGGCCACACAGCCCCTGCCTCCGCGTCCACAGCGTCCACCTAACGCAGACCACATACCTCACAACATGACCACAGCCGCCGCGAGGGAGACACGCTCAGCTGGGGTGACTGTGCTGCTCAGAAAAACACCCAGAGAGAAGAAAGCCTGCTCCCCCACCAGCTGGGGGGACGAGGAGCAGAGCCCACGGAGCTGCAGGGGGGTTGCTGTCTGTCTTCAGTGAATATTGATATGAGAGCCCAGAGTCCAGAGAACAAAAAAGTAAAAGACACGCACCAAGCACGAGTGAGGACTCGGGCTCCGCGCAGACTGCGGCAGCTCTCCCTGTTCTAGCTCAGGGAGAAAATGTCGCCGGGCAGGAGTGACAAATGCAGCGCGAGGCTGGCGGCAGGGCCTGCGGGGTCTGTTTTACTTCCACACACATCCCCGAGCGCGCTCCCACTCAGCCTCCAGAGGCTTTTTTCCGCTTTTTTTTCACGAGCTCCAAATCCCCGGCATATGACCTTCTGTTAAATAGATAAAAAAAAAAATTGCTTATCAGTCATGCAAATGAGGCTGAATTCATTTTCCACAACAGATGGCCTCATGGATAATGATGATGGAAGAGAGAAAATTGAATGTGTCTCACAAGGTGGCCATGGCAACCGAGAGCAGAATAATATCAATAATAAGCTCACTGCATAATAAGGTTGTCAATCCCACAAATCAAAGTCTCCAGCTAAATCAGGTATACCACCCGGCTAGTGACCAGGTAAATAAAAATAGGGGGGGGGGGGAGATTGCATTTTACAGTGGCTGTGAAGAAAACTAGAATTTCCAGGCATTCTGTGGCCTGTGTGTGTGTGTGTGTGTGTGTGTGTGAGAGTGTGTGTGTTAGAGTGTGTGTGTTGGGGGCGTGGCTGGATAATGCAATGAGATGTGACAGTTTTGTCTTTTTCTCTTGTGTGTTCTGTGATGGACTTGGGTGCACAGAGGATGCTGCAGTGGCCATGTTGGCATGTGGGGCGCGGCAAGCCGAAGCCTCTCTCTGCGCTGTCCCCGCACTCCCTGTCTGTCCGCACTGATGCCCCAGCAGCCGCCGCTCCCGGGGGGACATCCCGCAAAATGAATCAGCAGCCATCCTGCGTGGCTGATGAAAATGAAAATGGCACATGTCTGGGCGGGACGGAGCCGGCTCTGCTGGCTGTCTGGCAAGCACGCTCGATAGCGCTCCTGCTAATCATGGCTCACAGCCTCTGGTGGTTTTTCTAAAAGGTATCGCCCTTTCCCCGCAAGCAGCTGGTGGGGAGCGTGTGTCCGTCCGTGTGTGTGTGTGTGTGTGTGTATGTGTGTGTGTGTGATCAGGGAGCTGGCAATGGACCGTTCCCCGCTTGTCGTTTTCTGCCGCTTACACACCGACTGCCTGCCCGACAGCCCCATATCGTGCAGCTGGACTCACCTCTCTCTTTCTCTGGGGGTAGAAGGGCCGGTCATATACTCAAGCTGCCTGGAGACCGCGCTGACACGCCTGTGCGGAGGGGGAGAGGTCCTGCCCCACCCCGCACACACCTGGCGAGAGCTCCCCCTGCCCCCCGGGCTCCCAGCTGGACCCTGAAAGGCAGCCGCGGAAAGAACCTATTTCTGTCGCAAACGCTCGCCACCGCCTGCGACTGTAGCCCAGATATTATGCAACACAGAGTCTCCGAAATAGAAAGCTGAGGGCTGGCTAGCCGAGGCAGCAATCGAACCACATTTAATAATGCATCTCAGGCTTCTTTTTCTTTCACAAAATGCTCGGGCATCGCTTTAAGATTATCCTAAAAAGAAACTATTCTTTTCAATATCTCTGTCAAATTTTTCAGGTGTTTTTAAGGCATTCTGAAAAGTAGACCATTGTTATCTCATAAAAAAGAGCTCACTGTTTTGAACCAGGGCTTTGTTTTCGGAATTCTTTGTCCTCTACCTTTCCTGTACATAGCTTGCTCTGCTATTAACCATCTTCCCATTTTGCCGTTTCAATGCCCCCATTTTTGTTCCTTTCAGGAACAGATAGATGGTTTTCATGGGAAACTGCATAGATTAATGTTTGCCGTTAGTAATTCCTGTCACTGGGATGTGATCCTGTTTCCTCCTGCACTCGAGCCCCAAGCTGCAGTGAGAATCAGAAATCAATAGAGCTGCCCTAATGGAGGCTCCACTCGGCATGTGGGCGGCTGCAGCCTCCTCTTTCTCCCTCTCCCCTCCTCTCTCCCTCTCCCTCTTTCTCCCTCTCCCCTCCCTCTCCCTCTCCCCCCTCCCTCTCCCCTTCCTTT